ACAATACATGCATAATTCAAAGGATTCTGACTTCCTAAAGGGAATGCTTTAATGTTTATTTGGTAAGCTCGAGTTTAAATTGGTTCCACTGTTTATCTGCGAGTTCCCAAACTCTTTGTCTACATATATCAACGCGTGTGATAGTAGATCACTGATGAAAGGAGTAACACTGAAAAAAGAACTCCAAAACATCCTGTCACTGCTCGAACTGTTGGGAGCATACAGTATATTTTTCTTGTAGAGCTTCCAAGCTTTTAACATAGAATTTTAACTAAAATCTATGATTTCTTTACACCAACCCATGTTTGCCACCTCTTCTGCTATTTGGAGTGCAGAAACCAATACAATCTGCCCTGGCAAGTTGTAGCCCATGTGCCATATCTGTCCTTATTTCAGTAGTTGAATTTTGCTCACGATTTCAACAGCTGAAATCTGTATTTGCTTAAAAACTGTTAAAAGTTAGAACGAAATAACTTTAAAACAGAATAAAAAGGAATTTTGCAGAACTTGGATCAATTTGACAATTTGGTACCAGTTCTAGTTTTTGTTAATCCTCAGAATATGTTAATGGAATCCTTGCATTTCTCTTCTTTTAAAATTCCTATTTCCTAAAATGCAAGAAAAACTTAAGTCACCTTAATGTATGAACACAAAATAGAGGTGCCAAACACTTGCCTCCTTAAAATAACCCCAGGTGGCCCAGTAATATATGTAACATATAATCAGACACGGTCCAGTTGGGCTTGATGATCTTAGGTGTCTTTTCCAACTGTAATGACTCTGTGATTCTGTGATTATTAACTGCTACCAGGCACTCAGATTGTCTCTTGGCTATCATTTCACCCATCCAAATCCAGAATTAGAGCTGTTTCCATCCCACCCATCCCACACCTGGTAGGAGAAGGCTCAGGGGAGACCACCTCACCCTCTACAGCTCCCTGACAGGAGGTTGGAGTCAGGAGGGGGTTGGTCTCTTCTCCCAGGTAACCAGCAGCAGGTCAAGAGGGCACAGACTCAAGCTCTGCCAGGGGAGGGTTAGGTTGGCTATTAGGAAGAGATTTTTTTAGGGAGAGAGTGATCAGGCATTGGGATGTGCTGCCCAGGGAGATGGTGGATTCCCCATCCCTGGAGGTTTTCGAGCTGAGACTGGATGTGGCATTTAGTGCCATGGTCTAGTGACCACGGTAGGGCCGGACTGGGTGATCTTGGAGGTCTTTTCCAACCTGATTGATTCTGTGATTCCATGATTCTATAACTCTGGGGACAGAGCGAGGCCAGTGGTGTGGAGAGCCCATGGACACATGGCTGGAGCAGCTCTGCTCCTGCACGGCCCTGAGCAGCCACAGCACACAGATCACTCCCAGACAGCACCCTGCAGGCTATTTTAATCCCAAAGGAATCCAGCTGGCACACTTCAAGGCTGCTTTAGGCTGGGCAAAGTGCAGCTCCAGAAGTGAGCGAAGCCAAATCCCTCGTGCCCATTCATCCTGGGCAGAGCTGCTCTCTCCCTGCATGCCTGACCTGAGCTCCTCCTACCCACGAGCCATTTCCAAAGAACAAAAGTACAGCTATCTCCTGGATCACTGCAGCAGCAGCTCCTTTTATAGCTGCTGGCAAAATAGCTTGTGACGCCTGCAAGTGACTGCTCTGCGGTCAGGGAGTGGCAGCCCAGAGCTGGGGAAGGGAAGGCAGAAAGGAGAGGGACAGCAACGCTCCAAATACACTCAGAAACAAGTCACCCTGGCCTCTCCTGCATCCCTGAACGCTCAGGGCAACCTCACCTTCCACAAGACACTGAATGGCTTTGGAGCATAAATAAAGAACCTTCAGTGCTGGTTGTGGAGAGTTCACACTGCTGGTTGTGGAGAGTTCACGCTGCCAGCAGTGAACTCACAGAGCTTGCTGTGATCTGAGCTCAGCAGGAGCACCAAACACTGCACCTCCTCCTAGTCAACACGCACAGCTCAAAGAGCCCCCTTGGAACATGCTGTGGAAATTTCCCCTCCCCAGTGGTGGGGGAAAAGGGAGAAACAGAAGGAAATCTGCCTGATGTCACTGCAGAGGGCAGGGAATGACCCTGCTCAGGGGTGTCTTGTCTCCCTTAGGTTGCTGCATCAGCTTAATTAGAACAAAGCCCAAAGAAGAGCAGCTGCTGCTGGAGGAAGCTCTCAGGTTTCTGCTCGCCTGTTGCCTAAGAAATTATTCTTCTGCTGAAAGAACCCAAGGCAAGAACTGGCTAACAGGAAAGTGATATGCAAGAGGATCCCACGTTGGACAATAGACACACAGTGACTGACTACAGAGATACCAAGGGTGCAGAGCCTACTCAGCTTTTACTTACTCTATACAAGGGTTTTACATGGACAAAGCAACATTCAGCAAATCCACCTGGCCCTTAAAATGTTAAAGAGCAGCATCAGATCTTTTCCACTTAAGGTGCATAGATGTTAATTCTGATGATCTACTACAGATGTTTTAATAAAAATCTCATTAGATACACTGCTATTCAATGTTTTTCAACTCAAAACTGTTGTATAATTTTACTACAAGAGTAAGTCTCAACAGTTCAGATCAAAGTAGATGTTTTAACATTCAGGGAACTCTCCTGTCACTACATTCCCAAAAAAAAGTCTTTTGCTGTGGAAATGGAAAGGAGAAAAAAAAAATAGGAGTTTTCGTTTTACCTCCTTGTCAAAAATAATCCCTAGTGTTTCAGTTGGTAATAAGTATTTTTGCTTTTTGCTTGCTGTGGCAGTGCCTGCAGGCACTTCATCCTGTCCCTCGTTCCAGCCCAGGAGTCACACTGATCCCCATCGTGGGGCAGAGAGGAAATGGAGAACAGGTTTTTTCAGTCACCTGATCGGAAAGTAAAACCAAGAAACCCACAACACACACCACATGAAAGAATTCAGAAAGGAGGAACAGAACTGAGAGAAAACCAAGTGCATGTAGATAAAATGTGGTAGGAGGTCAGGTCTGCCTCAGGGCTCAGCCCAACCTGGCTCCATCCACCTGAGCAATCTCCAATTGGCACTTCTCATCCCACTTAAACTTTCCTACTCTGGAGTCTGTATCCCATTTTAGCCATGTTTTCCATCAAGATCAGCACTGAGTAACCCACTGGACACAGGTTTGTGCACAAGCCAACGTGAGCTGCTCCGTAGGACCTCAGAGACCCCAAAGGATCATCATTTGCTGCACTTGCTGCACCATCATCATGAGATCAGTGTCAACCCTTAAGCTCACTAGATGTAAATAACACTTCAGCATGCCCAAATTTGAGATCCAGATTAACTGCCTTCCTGTCACATGCTGTGCCTTAAGCCTTGTCAGCAATTTCTTACGGAAATCACCAACTACCTTCAATTACAGGATCATCCCCTTGACATGGATTATACCCAAGTTTTGACTCCTGCATTATAAACTGCTTAAAAATTACATAATGCTTTCACAAAAGTCAATGGCTTGTGAGAAAATAAAGGGTAGAATTTCCACATTGAACACATCACTATGCTGAGTTAATAACCTTTTCATGCTTACTGTGACTGGAGGAACTGAGGACACAAGAGGAAAAACCCAGAGTCCTACAAATATCATAATACTCACAGTTAGAGGAAAAATTATCAAAAGATAATATTTAAAAGCTTCATATTTATCACAATAGTTTCAATAGCTGAAGACAAGTCAGTAATTAAGTTCCTACTTTTAATTCATGCAGTTAATTGTCCCCTTCTACTCTGCTCTTGTGAGTTCCCACCTAGAGTACTGCACACAGTTCTGGTGCTCTCAACATGGACATGGAAGTGTTGGAGCAAGTCCAGAGGACGCCATGAAGTTGCTCAGAGGATTGGAGCATCTCTCCTGTGAGGACAGGCTGAGGGAGTTGAGGCTGTTGAGCCTGGAGAAGAGAAGGTTGTGTGGAGACCTCAGAGCACCTTGCAGGAGCTGAAGGGGCTCCAGGGAAGCTGCAGAGGGATCTGTGTTAGGAGCTGCAGGGACAGGACAAGGGGCAATGGGCACAAATTGAAGGAGGGAAATTGAGGTTAGATGTCAGGCAGAAGTTTTGCCTGTGAGGGTGGTGAGACACTGTCCCAGGTTGCCCAGGGAGGCTGTGGCTGCCCCAACCCTGGCAGTGTTCACAGCCAGGTTGGCTGAGCCTTGAGCAACCTGCTCTGGTGGGAGGTGTCCCTGCCCAGGGCAGGGGTTGGGGCTGGGTGAGCTCTGAGCTCCATCCCAATCCCCTAACAATCTCTGAATCTATATCAACTCTGAGTACAATCCTCATTTCCTCTCCTCAGATCCCTGCCTTGCTGATTCATGGCTCAGCTTTATCCTTGAGAGTGTTGACTGTTGGCTGAATTCTTCCCACTGACCACTTCTGTTATCCACAGCTTCAAAAGCAGGAGAAGCTCCTTCCAGCAGCAACCAGACTATCAATTTCCAAGGAAAAGCAATCCTGGTGATCAAATGGAATCGGCAGTTGTGCCGTGCACAGGGTTAAATCCTCTCATCCCCCAACCTCCCAAGTGTAATAACAACATTCTTAGGAGAGATGACCCAGTTTATTATAGC